ATCTGCCCCGGCCCCTCGGACTGGCCGCCCGAGGCCGGCGGATCTCGGGAGGGACGCAGGGATGCGAGTTTATGGCCGCCTCTAATCCACCCAGTGCTCTATGTCTCTGGGCCTCCGTTTCCCCTGGTCTAACGAGCCATATCCTAAGGTAGGAGCTACCACTTGCTTCCCAGGACTTTGCAGACCTTTCCAAGCCCACAGGGAACTGGGGGGCGGAGGGCCAGGCTGCGGGCTGCGGGCAGGAGGGGAGAGGGAACCAGGGGCTCCAACTCAAAGCTCACCGTGTACCAGGCCCTGTACTCACTTTCATGTCCTCTGATCCTTAAAATAGCCCTGCGAGGTTGGCAAATGGCCTCCGTCTGATAGACCAGGAAGCGGAAATCCGTAGTGACTTGCAGACTTCACCAGCTGGAGAGGCGGACTTGGGTGGGCACCGAGGGCGTCTGTGCGGCCCCTGCACTGAGCTCCCCGCTGTCCCCACAGCCCAGGGGGAAGGACAAGGGGCCTGCAGCAGGGAGCCGCTGGCAGGGAGGTCTCAGGAAGGAGGGGAGCGAGCTTACAGTATGTGCGGGCGGGAACCTCGCTTGGGAAAGGCTCCTGGGAGTCAGTGGGAGAAACTGAGGCCAGGAGCAATTCGAGGGCCTCCCAAGCGGGGAGAGCAGTGCCTCGCCAGGCACCAGGCGGCGGAGCGAGGACACCAGGAGCAAAGTGAAGGATGGAACGTGGGCACTGAAAGTCAGAAGCCATCCATCCCTTTACCCACCTGTCCACTCTCCTGTGCATCCATCCTCCACCCGCACATGGAAGTATTACTGCTCTCAACATCTGAGTTTGTGAGGTGCCTGGCCCTGTGTGTATGTGATGAAGACGCAGCCCCTGCCCTGGGGGAGCTCAGAGGACCCCAGGGCAGGCAGAGCTGGCACCAGGTGATGGCGCTATTGGGTTGATACCGGATACAGAAGGAGCAGCTGTGCAGATGGTTTTGGAACCAGGGTGCCTCTGAGCCTGAGAATAGCTGTGTGGGAAGAGGGTATGTGGCAGGGACCCTGAGCCAGGCCTGTCATTCTGCTGTGCTCTTCCTGCTTCGCGGGGAACTCCCTCACACCTCTCAGCTTTCCTTCCTTCCTTCTTTCCTCCCTCCCATCCTTCCTTCCTTCCTTCCTTCCTTCCTTCCTTCCTTCCTTCCTTCCTTCTTCTTTCTCTCTCTCTTTTTAAAAAATGTTTTTATTGATTTTTAGAGAGAGAGAGGAAGGGAGAGGGATAGA